AGAAAGTAACGATGTGATATAAAAATGTAATGCTAGACAAGCTATGTATGAGCAATTACTGAATAACAGGGCTGTCCAAAACGTCACAGTATGTCTTCCTTTTTCTATTTAAAATCTATTTTCTGTTTTTTAATTATCTTTTTCAGAGTTCTTAGAATTAACACCTGGGGGGTTAGAAATGGACACTGAACCAATACATGCTTTCCATTTCTGTTCCTCTGTCTTTAAAACAGTTATCATAAAGGAAGATCTGCTATCATGGTGAGGAGCTCAACATTTGAAAAATAATCCATCTTCCACAGTATCATACCGAAATCTTAGTATCTTAGAATTCTATCTGCTCTGCAGTAGGAATCCAATTGAAGAAGATTTCTATTCCATAGGAAGATAAGGTTCAGTTACTGTATTCTTATAAACCACATTTATGAAGCATGAAAGGTTCCTATTACAGATAAAAATGAAAAGTACGTATCCAACATCAGTAAAAATTAAGGGATCCAACTGAGTTTATATTAATATGCTTTTGCCTCGAAGTCAGTGTCCTGACATCAGTGAAGCGCTGAAGTATGAGCTTCACTTTAAACACATGATGAAGTACTTAAATGAATTAAAGCAAACTACTAACTTGCTTGAGAGTTTACTACCATAAAACTCATCTTAACTCGGTGAAAAATCAGGATAACTATACTGTTTTACATGCTCCTTAGTTACTTTTATTTTCTATATTAACATGCGGGAATATTGGTCCAAAATATTAAACAAAATTCTGTTACTCATATATTTCACATTAATTTGTCATATTCTGAGATTAATGGATTTAGCCAATTAGGGAACAATATAAAAATATGCAGAGTAATCTTTGTACTTTTCTGGTGTAGTTCATTCTATGCACCTATTTTTTTAATTTGTAAAGCTAGGGGCATAGATAGCTCTTTAAAACTGTGGGTCATAGATAGATAAGCTTGTTCCAAAAGGACACAGATACAAACTCACCAAAATCAGTCAGAATTTTAAAGTAGAAAATGTACAGTATTTATCAAAGGACATATCCACAAACCTACATAACCTGAGCTGAGCACACTTCCTATTGAAGAAATGATTAAATATAAAGTTGCATATTCTGGAATGCAAACATTTTACAAACTATTTGTAGCTTAGCTCAAGTCTTAATGAGGAAGTTAAAATAAAAATGTTGAGATAGCTAGATGATTCATTTAGAAAAATTAAAAGGAATTTTGTTTTCAATCCAAGTCAGCGTTGGAAAACATCTCAACTTTAAAAAAAAAATTATAATTATGAAAAAAATAAAACAGAAATTTGCTTGCATGAATAAGCTATTTTTTTCAATTTATGTTTTTCACCAAATGTTTAAAAGTTAATCGCAAGCTAACCTAAATACATGCCTCACATGATTTCTTTATTTCTCCTATCTACCAACAACAACAAAAAAAGAAACAAACAACAAAACAAAAGAAGACACGTACTTGCACACCTCTAATCATAACTAAAATTCATAGTCCCTAATTTGATTGTCTTAAGTGGAAGACATGAAACGCCGTTGCAATCAACAGCAGTTTTGCTTCAGTAACAAAACAGGATTAGGATACTTGTCAGCTAATGGAGTTTGATTATATAAAGTATTATCCTTCTGCAAATTCTAATTTAAGTATTTATGAAGAATTTTTTTTTCAAGCTGTCACTTGGTATATTTCAAACTGATATCGTATTGTTAGTTTTGATTATAAAACAAGAAAAAAACATTTTAATCCTTTTTAGAATCATGCCTACCAAAAGTAATGCTACACAAAGTCAAAACATTCCGAAGCAGGTCTGTAAATCAGGCTGTCAGAAATACTAGAGTTTAGTGTCCTACTGTAATAAGTAGAAAGGTTTTTATTAAGCAGTATTTCCAAAAATAATTATCACATATAGAACGTATAAGGGTTTGTAAATGAATACATCTATTTGGACTAAATGCAAGAATGCATAAACTTTAAAAACATTGACTTCACAGCAAGCTAAGCAAACCAGAACTTCAGTTACTTTCCCAATAGTCCTACAAAGTGTCAGCTACAGAGAGATGGACAGCTGCTGCGGCTTCAAATTCAGCCCCCTTGAACTTTCCACTATTCCCAGGAAAAAGTCCAACACTGTGTTGGGGGGGGTGAACATTTCAAGACTACTTTGTCATTGTAAAATTAGTCACTGGAGTCCCTACCTAAGTGCCTGAAGCTCACTTATTCTTCTGATGGTCGCTTAAATGCAAGTGGTTTAAAAGGACTCAAAAGAAAGCCCCATAAGCTTTGGTACTATTATATGGAAGTCCTATTCCAGACCACCATTTGTGGTTGGTTGATCAAGATGTATTAATCTTCCAAGAAACACTTATAATGCTGGATGAAGAAAATATACATAAATAAATTACTGTATCAGTTAAAAAACAAAAAAGAGGGTCTACCACATTTCAGTAGCAGAAGGCAGACTGACAGCTTAGTGGGAGGAAACAGAAGCAGAGCAGGAAACTCTCCTTATGTAAACATGGCTCTAAAGTCTTGAATATGAGAGAATTAAATTATTTCTCTGGGTCAACAGAAAGGGCTGTTTAAAAAAAAAGGGTGAAAGGGAACCTCATTAAGTATTTTGTCAGAAAGTCTTTCTATGTTTCCCGTTGCACAATAATAAACATACATTTCAAGGCTCTTGGTAGCAGAAAGTCTGAAAATCGGTACTGTGGACTGATAATGGCTAAGATTTGCAGCCAGCACAAATGCAAGGTAATTAAAATGAGACAGATGGAGGGCTGCAGGTAGCAAAGACTTAACCTGAGAAAGGATTTTGTCCTGAAGCTGAAAAGATCAAGTAACAAATGCATTTTACTGTCCTGAATTTCAGTCCATATATACTAAGTTTGAAGAAACAGAATAAATTTACAAGATCAAAAATATCTTTATTTTCTCTTTTCAATAAAGGAGTACAAGTCCCTGTCCCCCTAAGAAATTGTCTCCCACTCCACAGGCACCTTCCCTTCAGTGCTAGCTACAATTTTCTTCAGTTGTTCCAGGAAGTACAATTCAAGGTTTCCATTTCTTCGCGGGCGGGGGGGATAATCAAGAAGAGTGATAGCTTTCCCAGAGGTTAAAAAAAAAAAAAAAAAAAAGGGAAAACTGCTGTACACATCAAGCCACCCTAGTGAGACTGGCATTTAAGGAATTTATTATACCAGCTGTGGTATAAGAAACGTTCAGGGATTGAATTACCAACTTTTCTATATTTATATATGAACCAAATCTTCTACTATCTTCCCATAAATACATAAATTACACTGCAAGTAATAAAAGAATTTGCCATCAGAAAAATCAAAATCACTTGCGTAGTTAAAGAGAATCTTTTATGGTTAAAATCACAAGATACTAATTTACTTCCATATTCTCAACTGCGAGTTATACAGTTTTGTAATTTCTCCTATTATGATATTAAAATCAAATATATGACTCTCTCAAACATAAAATGAAGCCAAAGAAGAGTCAAACTTCTTTTAGAAATTTTTAGAAATAAATTTTATGCACTAAATGCAAAAGCAATACTTAAAATAATTAGAGTATGGCAAGGTTAAGTAGTACCATAGTAACTAACTCAGCAAAGTGCAATGCTTAATGTAAGCTTTTCATCAGTATGGAGCACTGGAGAGCTCTGTGTTGCCACTGGAAAAAACTCTGCTGAAAGGAGGGATGACTAATTTTGTTAAACAGGTGAGATTTAATAATGTTAAAAATGAGAAACTTGTTTAAACTTAAAAAACAAAAGTGTTTTTTTCATTACACACTTCTCTATCCTTACATTTCTTTAAAATCTGTTAGCTTTTTGCTGCCATCAGTAACTCTGGTATGCTACTAGTGACTTAAAATAAGACATGGCTCATTGTCTAATTCTTTCAAAACTGGCCTTTCTGAAGCCTTTTCAGAATATAAATCAAACACACTATAAATTTGGGTTGGAAATTACATGTTCCCTCCCCAGCAGTCAGAACTTACTCCCATATATTCTAGAGAGAAAAAGAGTAAAGTTAAGACTGCTTGAGCAACACTTAAAACATTTGTTAAACTGGACCACCACTAGATATACGTATGATGAATATTTTATACATATATATAGGGCATATATATATATATATGAATAACTTTATTTTCCACCAAATAAAAAGCTGTGTGCTTTCTTTTTATTGACCTTTCTAGGATGGCGTACAATCAAGTCATAATCCCAAGTGAGACTGAACGGTTTGCATCAAATACATACCACCACACACAAATACATGAAAAATCCATGAAACCCCAATTTATTTCAAACATCTCTTCTTCATATGTTAAAGGAACATCCACTTACTGTCTTTTTTGTTTTAAACTCTATAGTTTACTGGAAAAAATTTAACCTAAAAATAAATTTTACCAGAAATATCTCCATTCTATTCTGCTCGTCATCTCCTACTCATTGCAACAAACTAAGTACAATTTTAAGTGTTGCATAACTTTTGCATCATGTAAATTAACATTATAAGGTGAAACATGAAATCTAATTCTGAAATAAAATAATGCAACTTCCTTTCCAGTTTTACATAAGCTAGAGAGAGACATAATTCTTTGTTGGTCCAGCTGGATACCTAAGTTGTATTGCCTGCATAGCCCACAATTTATATATTGCAATATTTTTTTTAACTAATTATTTCAAGTATTTTCCAAATTATATAGCATAATCTTAAAATTTATACAGTCTATTTATTACACAGTCTGATAATTTTACTTTTGCCCATACAGAAATTTTTTTTTACTTTAGATATTTTTTTTTTAATCTGCTGTTAAAGTTAGGTGCTAGTATTTTCTAGGTTCTTAAATGTGCATATTCTATAAAATGATCCATTTAGTACGTTTTATGAAACAAATAAATACAGACAAAACACTCCCCAATACCACTCTTCTGCCCTTCTCTGGAAGAAAAGATGACAGTACCTGGTGAGCTTGCAACAGCTGCTCAGCAAACTGACGTACTTCTGATAGCAGAAGAGATATTAAAGAATTTCTTAGTATGTTGTTCCTTCCTAGCAAAACCAACGTGTGTGATACAGCATGCAGTGCCTGAAACTAAAGAGAAATAATAGTAAATTTAATCTTTCAAAATACGTCTCCATCTTTTTTACCCCAAACAACTGCCTTAAATAGAAATGGGATTTACATATTAAAATTTTAAAGAGAGTAAGTAAAATTCAAAATTTTTGAGTTTAAAAAGCTATTAATTACATACATATGAGATATATGAGAAATCCACATCCATTACCTAGATTAGCACTACAGGAAACTTTCACATCAACAAACACCTCCAAGAGTGTGAATTCCCCAGGAAGCAGCTTTTCAGCATTAGCTGTCATTGTGCCCATCTGCTGTCACACAAAGTGGGTGACTACCCTGCACATACAGTAATTCTGTTTGTCACAGGTAGACAAATGAACAAATGAATTCTTTGAAATTCAAATGCATGAGCAAGTTAAGAGCTATACTGGAGTTTTCTGTTATCAGGAAGAAACTTGATTAAATGCTAACTGATAGAAGATACACTATATTTTCAAATTCAAACAATTCACTTTCAGATTGTTATTTAACAAGCTGTAACCAAGGCATTTCTTGTGAACCATAGGAGGAGTGATGTCAATTTACATGAGAATTATATTAGTAATACTGTTTTTTGCCATAGTCTTTTCTATTAAAAAAATAAACTGTTTTCTTTGTTCCCTGAAATGGAAATGTATAGCCATTATGTAATGAAACATACTACAAAGTAAACGTGACATTATTTCGTAAAACACTACTAGAAGAAATTATCATTTTTATATCAGAGTTCTTTCAAAGAAAAAAGTAATATACATTAAATATAATGACTATAATTTTATTTTTATATAAATGTATACCCCTACAACATCAATATTCAGCATCTCTTTGTAGATGTGTATTTTTGACTGACAAAAGGATACTCTGACCCAAATTTGTATGTCTAAGAATAACTACCATGTCTTAACCACTCAAAAGCAGACCACTGCATCCTATTAACAATCTAATTTATTCCTCTAGCCAGCTCATGTGTGTATACACACACACATGTATGAGAATAAAAATACTTGCCCACCATTTACAAGTTTGCATAGGATGAACACTCCTGGAAAACATTTCCAAACACACGAAAGGCAGGAAGTAGTAGTCAGCATGGATTTATTAAGAGGAAACCGTACTTAACCAACCTGATCGCCTTCTACAATGAGATGACTGGCTTAGTGGATGAGGGGAAAGCAGTGAGTATCATTTACCTTGACTTTACCGTGGTTTTCAACACTGTCTCCCGTAAAATCGTTACTGACAAAATTTTGAGCTAGGTAAGCAGACAGTGAGGTGGACTGAAAACTTTTGGTGTAAAAACAGTTAATTAAGTAGCTTCCCACTTAGAGTTACTGCTTGTCTGTCTGATCAAATGGTCAAATGACCCTGCCAGTTGATGCAATGCCTATTTACCAGCCTCTTACAGCTGAAGAGTTTGATCAGCTTGGCTATCATCTGCCCAATATGAGACAATCTCCTATTCACGGTCATAACAATCAAACTTTAATAAATCTTTGCTGTTAATCATCTCACTTTAGCACGTAATTCCAAAACAAATATAAAAAGAAAGCTATAAAACACAGAGAAGTCTTATGTTCAGAATAAAATCTGCAGTCAGACAAAGTAAACTCCTCATATTAAAGAGAATTCATAAATTGTACACATATAGCTTTAAAAATCTGTGAGATTAAAATAATTCATAAATGTATCCACCAAAGAGTCTAGAAAGATGAAATGTGAATGAAGGCAGGATAAAAATATGTTTCTAAAAAATTAAAATGATATGAAAAGATAATGTAATGCAAGCACCTACATGTGCTTTGAGGATATATGAATTAAAATCAGACTTCCATATACTGGAAACGTACACCCTTCCAAACAAAACAATGACTTCTCTTCCCAAAAATAATCTAGACATTTAGAGTTTTGAAAGATCTTCCACAGTATCTACTAAAACTGTATGACAGAAACTAAGTTTGCAACACCTGGATAGTTCTCCCTTGACAGCATACATGTTCCAAAAGGGTAAGACTGCTTCAAATCACTACTCAGAGGTTTAAACAATGCTAAAAAATAGCACATTTTTCATTAAAGTCCCCAATAATTTTTACTTCTTTTTATAAATTAAGGATGGATATGTGTTTTATAGTTCTGTATTTTCAGAGCATAACATTGAGTATACTTGCTAATTTGCCTTTGGCAAGCAAGTGAACTAGACAATCCAGAGCTGTGTTTCTTTTCAAAATGTGAGGGAGTAAGGAGACCTTTGAATTCCTGTTTGCTGAGTTACAGCACTCGCATGGATGTGAAAGATTACTGTTCAAATGTATGCTGTCTTAAGTCAGAACACTGAACTCTGCTTAGTGCAGATACTTCAATCTAAGTGAATCAACATTCATGCAAACACTGTAGTCAGCAGCCTGCTGGTATTCTAGGGTTACGACCCCTCCTTCTTCCCCTTCACCTCACACTTCTGTCCCAAATAACACGTTTGAGAAATCTGTTTCAGTTCAACATGAAACAAAACTGAATACAAAATCTTCTGTGCGTTTCACACAGGAAAGTGCCTCTGCTGCCGCACCTCTTCCCCAGCATTTTGTGCCTCTTCCCTGAGGAAAAGAAAAATGGATTGGTTGGGATCCACCGCACTGGGCAGCTTGCAAAATATCAAGCAGCCTTCCACAATCCTTTCTGACCACAATGTAATGGCTTGAGTACAGAAGGATTAAAAAAAAAAAATCACCTAAATAATATATGTCATTCTTAACGTAAGCAGAAGTAAAATAAGCATTAGTTACAACTCAAATTTAAATTTATACAGTGAGGCACTTAAGTCTATGGAAATCCTCTTTGATGGGTTTTTAGTACATGATTTCCTAATTTCCTTGACTAGTATGATTTACCCATTATGTTCTGGAAGTCTCAAGTGTTCTATAAACAATACCTACAGCTATCACTAGCAGCAAAGAAAAGAAAAAAAAAAAAGGCAAAACAGATACTACTCTGCCCTTTGTAGCTTGACTTCTTCATTCATGAATCAACTCTTTCGGCCTTCAAAGAGCACAAATTATTTTTTTTTTTGTTCTGGTTGCCAGACAGTGGAAATTAGTACATTATGATTCTGCAGATGCCCTTTGAACAGATTACATTAAATAAAACTTAATTCACTCTGCCTTGTGCAGATTTTAGACAACAATTAAAAATATCTCTGTACAGATTAAATAAATTTTGCCTAATCCTTTTCATGAATACTTCTACCCTACATTGAGTTCTACTATATGAGAAGTGTGAACAAATCTCACATTAAGATGAAAAAAATAGTTGTATATACCATGCTTAACATCTTTACAAACCGGTGAAATTTCTTTGGCATTGATCAATATTCTCTACTTCTCACACAGGCAAAACTCAGATTCAACAATTCAGATAAAGAAATTAAATAGGAGTTCAGTGTGTGTTAGGTGCAAAAAAGTAAATTTTCAATGCTATCTCTCCCAAAGGACACACTAAATGTATATATTTACACACAAACATGATTATGATTGTTCTTTTTTAAGCTCTTTTCTATTTGCTTACAAGATTTTTACACAGATAGTGAAATAAATGAAATTTTTTTTTTTTTTTAGTTATTAATGCTAGCAGCTGAGATTTAACTAAAATAGGATCTTTCACAAAAATTCCATATCCTTTCTGGTTTGGCAAGAGTTACCGTTTTCTAATTGGAATTTTGTGGGAATAGATGACAGGGGATCTTCAAATTTAAAGCCTGAGCCTCTACTAAGGGAAGTAAATAGGGATTTTATAATGACGGCACTTAGAGTACTTGAGATATGGATACTAATGCCACTGAAAAATCCCACCTGCTAACTGATTTATTAAAAAGTATGGATTTAATATTGTATTTTGGTGGATCTCTCAGTATATTTTAAGAAAATAAGGAGACAGCAAAGAGTTAAGGTTAAAATAGCGCTCACAGACTGTATGCATTAAATGCATACAGAACAAATTTATAGCATATAAGCAATAAAACTGTAAATAGCAAACAGAAGTAAGACTTTGTGTTTCAGAGCAATGCTCATGTATTGCTAATTAAACTCTGGAAACATTCAAACTGATAATAGTCCAAATAGTATGCAGTTTCATTAAAAATAAAAGCATATCTTCAGCTCTCAAATCTATCAAACATTAAAAAAGGAACAGAAATCTTTTAATCCCTTGGGCTTGCTTAATGGTATAGATGAAATGAAACCTATGCTCTTCAGGGACTCTCAGTTAAAAGAAGTCTGAAAATTAGATTGTAAAAACCATATGATCAGAAACAAGAAAATAATGGAGTCTAGTTCACTGTTTGGGAGGTGCATCATCTCCTCCCACATCTCAGTTTCTGTTCTCTTTCCATGTTCCTCAGGATGCAGAGCAAGAGTGAGCAACGCTGTGCTGGTAAAGATGCGTGGACTGTCTACCTGGCTGTTGCCAAAATGAACATATGTCATTGTTCTGCTCACCTCGAGCATACTAATTTGCTCTCTCCTCCACCCAGCCACCAATTTTAAGTGGAAGGTATTTTTGACCTTCCACTTCTCTTTTCAAGTGATTTCAAACTGGCTATCAGTTTCAAAGTTACTAGTAGAGGAAAAGACTGACAAGCAAAACAAACAGCACACTCCCATGAGCCTTGTTTCTCCGGTAAACCAGGATAAAAATCTCTACTTATGAATTATTTGTTTAGAATTCATTTATTGGAATGTGTTAGTCTACATAACTACAACAACTGCACCTTAGTTTCTGTTTCATCAGCTTACAACTTTCATGCCAAGTAACAGCTCTGTTCTGAAAGCGACTGGCATATTTGGCAATACGGAGTAAGGCAAATAATTATACAGGTGTCCTCAAACTGTGAGGTATTAAAAACAAAACAGTATTTTTGCCTTTGAATTCACATCATCTTTCCCTTCTGCCCATTTAGTCCAACCTGACTTCCAATCCTAACTCATCAA